CGCAGACCGAACCCGGACTCGAGGAGTCAGGGGCTCCGACCCTGGTTTCGGCAGCTGGACCCGGGCGGGCCCTTCCCGACCCTGACGTAGCAGAAGTTCACCTCTGGGAGACTCGACTCCATTTCCCCGAAGCCCCCCTGAGCCCGGCCGGGGCCAGCTGTCCTTAAGCTTACCATTCAGCGGATGTTTCTGGGGCACCTACTGGGTGCAGGGCCTCACAGCAGGGCCTCTGCGTTCAGACCCGGCTAAGTTTGGAGCCCCAGCTCGTCGATTTCTAGGAGACGCTCGGCAAGTGACTTAAGCCCACCAAGTCTCAGTCTTTTCATCTATCAAATGCGGCTAAAAATAATACCAATCGTATAGGGTGTCGTGAGGACGCGGTGAGATGAAGCAGAGCGCCTTATGTGTTGGTTTCTATTAGGTTGAGGGTTAGATTAAAATTATCGAGGAAGAGCCCTGTCACCCGTGAGTGTTGTCAGCGTTGGCTGCCTTGTAGTCCAGGGAAGGACTTGGGAAAACGCTTTCATTCCACCCCAGCCTCGTTTGTAGTTGTGTTTTCGAGTAAAAAGGCAATATTAAGGGGAAAAGAAGCAGGTGTCTAAGGACCAGCTTGGCCCACTCGGGTCTCCAGGGTGAGGACATTAATCGATTATGATATGGTGGCCACTTAACCTAAACATTCAAGAGATAATGTACTTGGGAGTCTCCTGTGCAAGGGGCAGGTACTTCGTTTCAAGGTGAAATATTTTGAAAGCTTCTGAGTCTTGGGTATTTTTAAAGGGGTTAGAGTAGACTCTCAACCTGTGGGTCGCGACCCCTTTGGCGGTTGAACGATCCTTTCACAGGGGTCGCCTAAGACCATCCTGCATATCAGATATTTACATTACGATTCATAACAGTAGCAACGTTACAGTTATGAAGTAGCAACGAAAATAATTTTATGGTTGGGTCACAACATGAGGAACTGTATTTAAAGGGCCAGAAGGTTGAGAACCATTGGGTTAGAGGAACACATGTTGAATGTTTAATATTCTCGAAAGTGCAAAAAACCTCACCAGAGCTGTATTGTTCACGTGGCCAATTAATTGCCAAGTAGTTACTTGAGTTAGTTAAAATTAAAAATAAGATCTTTAGTTGTACTAGCACCGTGGTTGGCAAACTGCGGCTCGCGAGCCACATGCGGCTCTTTGGCCCCTTGAGTGTGGCTCTTCCTAAGCCTTAGGAGTACCCTAATTAAGTTAATAACAGTGTACCTACCTATATAGTTTAAGTTTAAAAAATTTGGCTCTCAGAAGAAATTTCAATCATTGTACTGTTGATATTTGGCTCTGTTGACTAATGAGTTTGCCGACCACTGTATGTACTAGCACATTTCAGTGCATGGGTAGCCACGTGTGGCTAGTGGCTACTGCATTGGACAGTGCAAAAGACCATGGCCATCATCACAGAAGGTTCTAGTGGACAGTGCTACTCAGAGAAGCTGTGAACTTGAAAGCTGTTTGCCTCTGATCTCACCAGCCAGTGACTTTTTGAAGGATCTTAGTGTGCCTGCCCCAGGTTTGTTCTGACAGGGTCTCAAGTGGGTAACAAGGCAGACCGAGGTGTGGTGAGAAAGCGCAATTATGAACTTGAGGGTTAATTTAAAAAGCTGTGCAGGATAGTAAAAAGTTTATTAAATGGAAGTTAATACTGTTTACATATACTGTTAACATTGACTACTGAGCTAGCCCATATTATGAAACTGAGAAATTGTGTGGGGAACATGTGTGTGGTGAGCTATGGTAGAAAGACAAAACTGAAAAAATGAAGAAGTAACAGCACAAGCAAGTTATTTAAAAAAAATTTATTTTTTAATTTTTGTTAATTCTCACCCAAGGATATTTTTCCCATTGATTTTCAGAGAGAGTGGAAGGGATGGGGAGAGATGGGGAGAGAGAGAAACATCAATGTGAGAGAGACACATTGATTGGTTGCCTCTCCGCACACGCCCTGACCAGGGCCAGGGATCAAGCCTGCAATTGAGTTACGTGCCCTTAACTGGAGTCGAACTCGTGACCTTTCTGTCAGTGGGTCGACACTTTAACCACTGAGCCAAAACGGCTAGGGCACAAACAAGTTATTAAGCGATATGGAGACAACTACCAAAATAATCAGCCAGAATTGGTGAGACTGGTCTTTATAGCAAACCTCCCAGAATTCTTTGACTTAGACTCTTTAATTATATGCATATATGACTATAAAGACAAAAGGCAATATTAAAACAAATCATTTATGCAGAAGACAGTTTTGGACATGAGCTTACTCATTGCCAATAGAATTATAGCAGGGAGAGAAGTATAAGGAAAACAGCATTTTATTTCTTTGCACCCTTGAATCTTATTTTACTGGTAAGGCCTGTCTGTGAAATACACTTGGAAAGATGATGGCACCAGGGTGTTAGTTACTTGGGCATTATGCCCTGGTCCACAGCCTGCCCGCTGTGTAGAGCGTTCTCAGGAGCACAGTGAGGAATGTGTGCATACCACCCTCCTCTCTGAGGCTTAGGCCGTGCCCCTGTGCAGCTGATGCAGCTGTGGTGACTAGGATGGGGGTTGAAAGCTAAGGACTTGTTAGCATCAGTTTATAGACCTATTGGTTTCAGGTTTAGTTTTAAAAATGCAGGTGCTGTGGTTCTCAACTCCAGTTGGGCAACGATTTCCTTCTCGGAGTTAGTTCCTTTGCCACCTGTAAAATGGGGATGCTGCTGCCTGCCTCGAAGGCTGGTTGGTAGTAGTAGCCAGCTCTGGGCTCGGGATGAGAGTAAATGCTCTCATTCATTATCTCACATGGATGTAGTCATATGAGCCATAATAGTCATGAGGTAGATGCTATTACCTGTGTTGTATAGATGGAAAACTGATGACATAATTTGACTTAAGTATCCACAGCTAGTGAGAGGCAGAGCTGGGATTCAATCTTTTAATCTTTCTTCACCCCTTAGCTACTGTGCTATGCCCTGCTGCTGACTTGCCAAGGTACTGATGTGCTCCTTGTGGGAGGTTTAAGTGAGATAATATAAAGGGGACATACATGGCACATAGTAGGTCCTCACTAGAATTTGCATGATTCTGAACAGATATTTTCTGTCCTGAGGTTTTTGCCTTTTGTCTACCTCTTTTGGTTCAAGTGTAAGTTACATTGACCAGTTGGCTGGTTGGGTTAAAGCAATACATCTCAACTCGGGATGATTTGAGACATTTGACAACATCTGGAGGCCATTTGGATTGTTACACCTGGGGTGGAAGGAGTGGACTGCTAGTGGGTGGAGGCCAGGAGTGCTGATAAAGATAGCTGCCCACCACAAAGAGTTATCCACCCAAAGTGTCAGTAGAAGTGTCTGAGAAGCCCGGGGTAAGAGCTCTCCCCTGAATTCTGCACATACACACTCACTGTTTGGGGTCTGACTGGTGAAACTTTCTCTGTGGGTTTGTTCTTCACAGGTTTCTGAGACACTAAAGCGTTTTGCAGGGAAGGTGACAACAGCCAGTGTGAAGGAACGGAGAGAAATCCTCAGTGAACTGGGGAAATGTGTTGCTGGAAAAGGTATTTATTTCCCATCCATATGGCCTAGAGATGCTTCCATTTCAAAATAAATTGTGTTCTCTGTTTAGAACCAAGGCCTTCTTTCCCCCTCCTTGTTGTAATAAGTTCTGCCTTGACTTTTTGTATTTGCTTGTTATAATATGCATTGAAACAGTAGGGTTAGTAGAGAGTTTATCCATTTAGATAACAAAGCTTTTTACAGTTTTAAGCGTTTTTGATTAGAAATAGTTCTAAAAGATACAAACAATCCTTCTTAAGTAAGTTATCAGATGCAAAAACATTTCCCCAGTCGGTCTTCTGTGGAACTCAGCAAGATGGTAGCAGGTGGTTGGCCAGTAAAGGATCCCCAAATCCATTACGTGTGGGACATGTCACATTTTCTAATGCCCACTGGGAGATGCACAACATATTCCAGGGAGGTGCTTTAATTTTATTAATCTTTCTTTAATCCCATATTTTCCTTAAACACCCGCCCCCCTTTTTTAAAACCTGTTCAGGGTGTGGGGACCACATTTTAGGAAATGCTAAGCACATCAGTCATCCTGATTTTGTACCATAATGGAGGGCTATCCCTGCAACCTATTGGGGTAGGTAAGACTGGTTTGCCTTCATCCAGTCAATCCTAATTAGTTTTGAGTTTCCTTTGGTATTTTTGCAATTCAGCAGTGGTTTTCAAAGTGTGGTCCCCAGGCCAGCAGCAGCAGCAGCATCACCTCAGAACTTATTTGAGATACAAATTCTCAGCTCCACCCCAGCAACACCAATTCAGAAACCGTAGATTGGGGAGTGGTTGGGGGAAGGGGGGAATCCCAGCATCTGTGTTTTAATAAGCCCGCACGGTGATTCTTGTGTTTGCTGAAGTTTGAGAACTGTGGTTGTAGAATGTTGAATCTCCCTTTGTGTCAGTTTTTACTTCTTACTAGAGGCCCGGTGCACGAAATTTGTGCACTG